CATACCTTAAATGGTATGAAAGGAGGGAGGGTACATTTCTCATGAGGAGACAGTTACAAATGCTAGCAGAACAGGACGACCCACCCCCATATACAGATGTTGATGAAAATGATGAGTATGTTAAATGATGAAATCATGTGAAGTAGTGAGCAAACTAAAATGCTAAAATGGAGTGAATTCATTTCATGACTTTATACTATTCCAAGATAGTTTATTTTTATTTTTCAATTTACTTTACACTATTCCAAGAAAGTTTATTTTATTCTTCATTATTTTATACTATTCTAATATGGTAGATTTCATGTTTTATAAATCATTGCTATTCTAAAATGGTTTGTTTCTTTTCACTTTGTAAAAACAAGTGCCTTAACACTGAGCATGGTATGAGAACGGTTTCTGTGAAAGGAGGGGGAAATAAATGTTCTGATACCAAGCCATTGCTGCTATTTTGAAGAATGATATTGAATGTTAACATTATAAGTTATGCACAAGGGAAAACTATTATGTTTGAACACAGACAAAGTATTTTTGTAAAGTTGAGGCTATTTGAACCATTCCATTTTGATTGTACGTTTTTGATATGAGTTAGGTATTATGCAAAGTTCAGATGAAGAACTCATTGATTTCAGTATTATACACACCTTTTAGGTGTGTAAGGAGGGATTGTTAGAAATTAAAATCAATGTTTGATAGCATAAAGTAGCTTAAACATACCGTCAGTTTAAATGCTATTTTATTCTGGAAAAAACCGGAAGTTCTTAATACCAAGCTTTTATTCTGAAAATCCTTCATCTCCGGTTAGCATTTAGCATGTGGCTAATATATCATTTCCTATAGATGTGAATTTAGCAGCGAAATGACATGGAGTGATGCACACCGAAACCTACTGATTTAACACTACAACTAATTGAACCAAGAGATTATTATTGCTGAATATTAAATGAAGGTACAGTTTATTTGAATACGTTATTGTTTACAGACGTGGGTAGCATGTGACAACATCCGGAACTACCTGAAACCAAAATGCTGTGAAGTATTTCCAGTATTTTTTAGAGTGTTGATTTTAGCGTTTGAAATGTATTTAGATGAAAAGTCATGAAAGAGATTAGGAGGAGAAGAGGCGTGTCTAGATATACAATGAATGTAAAATGTCGAAATCCTCAGTTTAACGCAATATCGGACACAGAAGAACGAGGGGGAAGTCTCCTACATCACCACAGCCCCTAGAGAGGAGGAGCAAACAGCCAGCAAGCGGGAAGGACGAATGCTTGTGAGCTCTCTTCTGCACGGCCACCACAGGGAGAGGAAGCTGCAGCCTTTCTCTCCTGACTGAACAATATCCTGTTTGTAACATTACCGCGCCATATTTTGAATTAAAGTAACCATTTGAACCTTCTCAGAGACTCCATTTAGTCTCCTTTTAAAGCTTCTCTCCTGGACGCGAGAATAACGAACACAGCATAACACGTCCCGGGTGGAGAGACCCGCTGAGACACTTCCTCCCCCCGCCAGTCAGCTCCGTGACGGTGGAGCACCCCACCCGGCAGTTCTCTGCTGCTGCGGAGTCTGCCGAGGTCGGGCAGCCCGCCCCCGTGAGTGCCGGTACGCCGGTTCCACGGGGTGGGCCGAAGAGGTGGAGGGGGCTACGGGCACGGGACCTCCGTCTCGCCGTCGCGCTGAGGAGAAGCCAGCGGTAGCATGCGGCTAAGCTGCACCCTCTCCTCCTCTAGGCAACTAAAGCGCTGGGTGACCGAGGCTATCCTAGCCAAAGAGCCCCTCCGTGGAAACGGGGGCTCCAAGGAGATCCACTCGGCCCTTTTTTGACAGCGCGGTGAGACCTAGCCACACGTGACGCGACACCACTGTGGCCAAGGACATCACCCGCCCAGCTGCGGCGGCCACTCCATGTATCAGATTGTTCATCTGACCTATGCAGTGGTCCGGATAATCGCTCCCGTCCTAAGGCGGGAGAACGGGGGTGTCTGTTTGAGGAGTAATCAAAGAGACGCCCAACACACCTAGATTATTGGCCGCAGCCGCCATCTGTGCACCGAGCCTGAACATTTTGTCCAAATACTCCAGGGTGTCTCGGTCCCGCGGCAGCGGGGTCAGAGGTTTCTTCCCCTCTGCCCAACCAGCTGTCTGCGGCAGCAGATGGGCCACCAGGCTCTCATCGAGGGGGGGCACGCCGTGTCCGAGCAGCCATGCACCCTGATGATGCCCGACATGGCTGCTACTGCGGCCTCTGTCCTCAGTGGACGCCACCAAGTCGCCTCCACACAATGCCAGATATCTGGCAACGGGGGCGAGACAAAGGCCGGCTGCGCCGGAAGCACCGGGCCGTGAAAACCCGGGCCGTAAAACCCTTGCCGAAGGTGGCTTACAGGCCTCTGTGGCAGCGGTGGGGGCAGTGGTAAGCCTACACGCTCCACTGCCTGGGTCATCAGCGCTGGGAAGTCCAGCCGCGCAGACCTGAGTGCTGGACCCTCCTGGCCACCGGAACCGAAGGTGTCGGATAACGAGGCGTCCTCGTCATCCTCATCCTCCCCCTCCGCGAAGTCGACCACCCGGTCCCTCGGGAGGGTGAACTTGAACGACACGTCGTCCAGATCGTCCATGTCGACCACATCGAGGTCCGGATCCTCCACCTGTACCTGCGGGCCGAGCTTCCTCCGGAAGTGCTCTACACGATGCCGGCGGTTTAGCTGCGGAATCGAGCGACAAGCAATGCAGGCCAGTGTCTGGCCCAGGCCCTGCTTGGCATGGTTCGGCCCCAGGCACTGGCGGTGCGGGTTAGCCCCTGCAATCAGGCCAGGGCACGACGGACAGGTTCGGTGTTCCAGGAGTGGTTCCATTCTTTCAATAACTTCTTCTCTGCTTTCTCTCATACGTCTTACAGCTCAGTGTCACTTCCGCTCGCTGAAGAGAAAGGGATGATGGTCAGGATGCGAGGCCTCCTTTTATACGGAGGTGAGATGCATGCGCATTCAGGTAGGCCCGTCCCGGGGCCGGCTACGTCTATAGAAATCTCAGTAGGTGAATGCTTGCATGATAAGGTAGTACCCATAGTGTCCAGTAGAGGGCGGAGCCTGTGAGAGATATAACGATTTAATTTGAATGAGCTGAACATGAAAAACTTCGCTGTTCCTAAACTGCTCTCGGATGTTGTTCCTGGGATTTGCTGGAGCCACCGTCAAGCAAAATCCCAGTTTGGGGGTTACTGCAGATTGCTCCGATCATCATGGAACCACTGCTGCTTCGCCTTCCACCTCTTCTCTAGCTCCTCTTGGTATATCCTGAGCTATTTCTGTACTTATCTATACATTATTTATACTCATTGTACCTTTAATATTGAGTTAGCCAACCGATTGTTGTCTGATTGCTTTAGGTACTTTTAAGGCTTTTAAGTTTTAGTTCTCTGGCTACAGGTTGAGTTTGAGTGCTGAAAGTAACTGAAGTCAATGGCTACTTACATTCTTAAGGAACTATGTTAGGATTACATCAGATTAAACCCCTTCTGATGATCTCCTCCAGCAGAGTATGAGCTTTTTTATTTTTTTCTTGTCAAGGTTTAAACTGGGAATGTTTTTAATGGAAGCCATACCAATCAGCCCTGGAGCCAGAGAGCCAGAGGTGGGGACTCGAGTCACATGACTTGACTCGAGTCAGACTCGAGTCACATGTTTTTTGACTTGAGACTTGCTTGACTAACATTGATAAAAGACTTGACTTGACTTTGACTTGAGATAGATGACTTGACTGTTTAAAATTTAATATTTGCGTTTGTTTTTGTAGTGAGATATTACGTTTAGTTATTTCGAAAAAAACGTGATTATAGCGCCATGCGCGCAAACCTGGCAACCCACTAGAAGGCAGGAGTCGCAGTTAATTAACATGGCAGCGGCTAGCGTTACTCCAAAAATAGGGAAGTTTGGATTCAAGGATTATGTTGTCGATGACGGGAATAAGAAGAGAACAGTGGTATGCAGGGTGTGCAGCATAAAGATCGGTGACACGACCACCACAACATCCAACTTCATTCGTCACTACAAAAAAAAACACAGAGAAAGGTACGTGCATGTGTTGTGTTAGCTAGAAAGCTAACGTTAAGTTTAAGCTACGTTAGACTTGGTTTCAAATCGATTAAGCAAAGAGAAGACAAAACGGTAAATGAACACTAGAACCGCCAAGGGATTCATTTTGACTAACCCTGATAGTGACGGGCTGTCAGGAGAGGGAGAGAGAGAGAGGGAAAGAGATGCCTCGTTTATTTCCCGTGTTATTATCAGAAGTTACTGTAAACTGTTGAATAATGTAGTTCATCTGCTTTTAGTAGTTTGTTTAAATGTTTTAATTATGTTGTTTTTGTAGAAGTGCATCATTCCTTGATTTATTTAAAAAATGAATCTGAACTTTTGATCTGTTATGATGATAAACTGAAGCAATTTCTAAATGAACCCAATTAAGTGAGTTTTAAATCGTCCTACGTAGTTTATAAGGAAATTATGAAGAGGAACAAATTAATAATTTGAAAATGATATCTATGTAGGTGCTGACGCTGTTGGCGGTTCTAGTGTTAACACAAATTTAAATTAAATATGTGTAATGGAAAATGCCATATGATTTTCTTACCTTTGAACAGACTTTTTGAGTCCTAGCTATATTGTCTGCAGTTCTGGGATTAATATGAATCTAATATGATTCTCATCGGTCTAAATTAGATTTCAAATGATTAACTGTATGTAATGAAGATCATAGTGTGGGTTGAATCCATTTTCATAACCACTGTCTTTTAACTGATTTAAATGCGGAAACTGGGCTTATTCATCAGAATTTCGCATGCCTTTACTTGACCTGAGCAATGACTTGACTTGCTTGACTCTCACCACAGTGACTTGGGACTTGCTTGATACTTGTAGGTCAAGACTTGAGACTTGCTCATGACTTGCACATGTAGGACTTACTCCCACCTCTGCAGAGAGCCATTGGGTTTAACTCACCAGTATCCACCAGAAACACTCCGTAGTTATTATGCAGGTCAGAGCTGTCTGGACACTTCTCTATTCCTTCCAGATACACTTCTTTGGCTTCAGCAAAGCGTTTCTGTGGAAGAAAGCAGATTCAATGAATACAGATTAAACCAGACATGAAGTAGACCAAGATAATACTAGAGCTAAAGCTAATGGTGCTGTGCATGTGGCTGCAGCTCCCTGTATCTTTATAGATTTGTTATCTTTTTACTACTTTTATTGTCTTAGTTGTACTTTTTTTCTTTGGACATTTATTTTTGTTTTGTAACTAACTATGGCCACGTTTTGTTTCGAACGTTTCCTGGTCATTCTCCTTTTACTTTTTTCCCTTTTCCATGCTCAGAGGAGCGACGGCATTGTTTACTCCGTGCTGCTGCCCGGAGCGAGGCATGACATCCCGGAGGAGCTTCGGAGGATAAAGTGGGGCTGCAGGGCAGTAACCAAGCGGAAGACGAAGAAGAAGAGAAGATACAAACCTTCTGTTCCGGCTATTATAATGGGGAATGTGAGGGCTTTGTGGAATAAGATGGACGAGCTCGGCGTGCTAACGAAGACGCAGTGGGAATACCGTGAGTGCAGCGTCATGTGTTTTACGGAGACTTGGGCCCTTTCTCATTTCTCTAATTCCCCTCCTCGACCTCCCCCTGGATGGATCGGGTTGCACTGTGAGAATCACCTTTTTTGATTTCTCCAGTGCTTTGAACACGATCCAGCCACGGCTACTGAGGGGGCAGCATTAGAGCCGGTGACACCAGCAGAATCAATACGCTGATCAGGAAAGCTGGGTCTGTCATCAGCGTCAAGCTGGACCCCTTTGAAGCTGTGGTGGAGAGGAGGACACTGAACAGGCTGTTGTCCATCATGGATAACCCCACCCATCCTCTCCACCTGCAGCTGGACAGACAGCAGAGCTCCTTCTCCAACAGACGCTGTATCTCACTGCAATAACTCTGTACAACAAATCACCTCTGGCTGGCAGAGAACTCTCTGGTCCATAGTTTCTCTTGAAATAAAATCACACTGTACATTTTACATTTATATATTCAGTTTAATATTTAATATTCCATCTGTCATATACTTATGTATATATAATACCTTGCTTTATATCTTGTTATTGTTAAATTGTAAATTCAACATGTATATTTTCTACTTTCTTGTGTATTTCATGTCTTTTAATTTTAATTGTACAATGCCATGTCTTTTTATGCTGCTGCAACACAAACATTTCCCAAATTGGGATCAAAAAAGTACTATCTTATCTTAATGTAATTCAGGAGTTGTGAAGCAGTGTTGAGTTACAACGTGCCTCCAGGCATTTTTAAAAGACAACATAAAACATACTTTAAAAAAAAGCAGCCACACTGAGCACCTTCATCTTTATTGGTCTTTGTTTTCTTTTGTAGCATGTGTGCTTATATCTTTAACCTCTGACTTTTATTAAGTCTTATTTTCAGTTTCTCTCGTATTACGTGCATAATTGTTAAAGCAAATAAAGCTCGATTATTATTATGATTATTATATTATTATAGTTTCACCTGTTCAGCATAGAGTGAAGCCAGACTGGAGTAAGCATCAGCAAAATGTGGACCGAAGTATATGGAGTCCTTCAGCAGAGCCTCAGCTTCTTCTTCCTTCCCAAGTGACCTGGAACACATCGTATGTTTCGTATATATGCAGTAGTAGTATGTAAACTATATATATAATAGATAAACAGTGGAGGAAATAAGTTTACCCACTTACACAGAAATTAACAGTCTGTAATTTTAATCAGTGAGAGTAAGAATATCAAAAGGAAAATCCAGAAATGTACATTATATAAAAGATAAAAATGTATTTGCATTAAACTGTGGGAAATAAGTATTTGATCCCCTTGCAGAACATGTGTTAGTACTTGGTGGAGAAACCCTTGTTGGACGCACAGAGGTCAGACGCTTCTAGTTGGTCTCCAGGTTTGTGCACATCTCAGGAAGGATGTTGGTCCACTCCTCTCTGAAGATCCTCTCCAAATCCTTCAGGTTTTGAGGCTGATGCCGGGCATCTCGAAGCTTCAGCTCCCTCCACAGATCTTCTATGGGATTAAGGTCCAGAGACTGGCTCCATCACCTAAATGTGCTTCTTCTTTAGCCACTCCTGTGTTGCCTTGGCCGTATGTTCAGGATCATTGTCCTGCTGGAAGACCCATCCATGACCCATTACAGTGTCCTGGCTGAGGGAAGGAGGCTATTGGCCAAGATTGTACGGCCCCGTACATCCTCTCCTCGATGCAGGGAAGTCCTCCTGTCCCCTTAGCAGAGAAAACCCCCAAAGCATAATGTTTCCACCTCCATGCTTGACGGTGGGGATGGTGTTCTGGGATTATAGTCAGCATCTCTCTTCCTCCTTCTACCAAGCCTTCTCTGAATCATTCAGATGTTCATTGTCAAACTTCAGACGGGCCTCTCATGTTCTTCTTGAGCAGGGGGGCCTTCAGGCGCTGCAGGATTTGATCCATTATGGTGTAGTGTGTTACTAATAGTTTTCTTGGGGACCCAGCTGCCTTGAGATCATTAACAAGTTCCTCCTGTGTAGTTCTTGGCTGATCCCTCACCTTTCTCATGACCATCAATACCCCACGGGCCAGATCTTGTGTGGAGCCCCAGACCGAGGGCGACTGATGCTCATTGTGTCTTTCTTCCATTTCTGAATAATGGCACCAACAGTTGTCTCCTCCTCACCGAGCTGCTTTCGGATGGTCTTGTAGCCAATCCCAGCCTTGTGGAGGTCTACAGTCTAGTCCCTGAGGTCCTTAGACAGCTCTTTGGTCTTGCCCATGGTGGAGAGGTTGGAATCTGATTGGTTGATTCGGTGGACAGGTGTCTTTTATACAGGTAACAAGTTGATATTAGGAGTACTTTTTTTAAAGGAAGACAACTTATTTAACCGGTCCGTGGGAGCCCGAATCCTTGTTTGTTGCAAAGGGATCAAATACTTATTTCCCACAGTTAAATGCAAATACATTTTTATCTTTTATATAATGTCAATTTCTGGATTTTCTTTTAGATATTCTTACTCTCACTGTTTATATACACCTACCATTACAATTATAGACTGTTCATTTATTTGTAAGTTGGCAAACTTACAAAATCTGCAGGGGATCAAATACTTATTTCCTCCACTGTATACTGTAATGTGTAATACAAGACCTGACCCTCACTCACAACTAAAACATACTTGTAAGGGTGTTTTATCCCCAGGATAAACATTTCCAGTGAAATAAAACATATCTAATACCGCAAGTGTTAGATCTCCCTGGACATATGCCTACACATATTAAAGCATGTATTCAATAGCACCACCATGTGGTCAGTTGTTAGGTGTTTGACACTTTGTCTAAAATATATTTGCACTATGACTTCGCCAAATCATATTTGGATTTCACTTGCTAGTGAACAACATTTATTTTTTGTTAAAACCTAATTAATTATAAGAGTCAACTGAATGATTTATGATTATCTTTTGTTGTTGCTATTATTGATCATTCTTGGGTGAAAAGAAAATAAGTAACTTAGAATTTACTTTGAGCAATAATTTAGAATTTGCTGCTTTAACAGGACCTTAGTAGTGAGCTAGTAAGCCGTTTTCTTCAATGGCCGCTCTGTTTGTGTTTCCGGAGTCTGAGCATGTCTTACTTGAGGAGGTTCCCCAGGTTAAACAGAGCTCGGTTATGCTGAGGGTTAGTGGCCAGTGCCTTCCTGTAGTAGCGCTCAGCCTCCTCTGGGTCACGGGTCAGAGTGCCCAGATTGTTCATGGCGCTGGCATGGCGGGGGTATAACCTAAGAAGAGGGGAGGAAAGCAAAGACAGCAAAAGAGGAGATTGGAGAAAGGAAAGAAACGGGACAGCATATTAAAAAAATAAACTGTCATAAATATTTATTCTGCCAACAAAACCATTTATCACTGGAATCATAAAGGCTTAATTTTCTTTGGACAGTATATCAATGATGACGGCGTAGTTTCTTTAAAAACTCCTAAAAATACAAGTTACCGCATTCACCCTTTTTCAGATACCTTCAGGTTAGAAGCTACGTACGAAGCAGTATGCTGCAGATTAAAACCAATAAAGATGTACATCCCTTAGTTAAGTTGTAGCAGGACAGGGGACAAAGTAAACACAATCCAACAACCACCCCATTCCGTTTTCCCAGCTGGTAGAAAACACGGCAGCTGGAGAGCCCCCACCTTCCCTACAGTTACAATCAAAGATGCATTTGCCCGACAATGCAAACATGTTGGTGTTCCTTGCTCGAAATCTTTGAAATACAGATTTGGATATGGCCTGTTGAGGCATCTGGGTCTTTGTATGGACAGTGGACTGTACACCTGACTGTTGTTTTAAGGAGGGTTTGCTTGTGAGACAATGTGTGCTCATATTGATTTATTTATATAGATAGATAGATAGATAGATAGATAGATAGATAGATAGATAGATAGATAGATAGATAGATAGATAGATAGATATAGAGAGAGAGAGAGAGCTCTGTTTTCCAGCCTGAGTCTATTTAATTTATTGTTTTGGTTGTGTGTGATTTAATTAATTTATTGTAATTTAATTAATTTGTTTTATTTATTATATATAATTTATATATTTTAATATTATTTCACATTTCTTTTGCAATGTTGAATGTTCAATAAAAAGTTATGTTTGAAATGATGTACTTGAATTATTATTATATGATCATTGTGTCAGTGGTCTAAAATGGTCTTACAACGGTGCCGACAATATTATCGTTTATCGCAATCATTTCCAGAAAAATGTATCGTCCAACAAAATTCATTATTGTGACAGGCCTGTGTGTGTGTGTGTGTGTGTGTGTGTGTGTGTGTGTGTGTGTGTGTGTGTGTGTGTGTGTGTGTGTGTGTGTGTGTGGCGGACAGGCAGGTCTCAGTTGGTTTGGTGTCCTCTGCTTACTTAAAAGTAAAAGTTCCCGGCACTAAGTACTCTTTTTGGTGTGAACGCAAAATAAGGGGTACTAACGGAACTAAACGGGAAAAGTACGGGGAAAAGTATTCCAGTGTGAACGGGCCTAAAGAAACAATTCTAATAGCAATAGGCACAAAGTCACATTAGGCACATGCTGTGTGACTTCGAATCGTTAAAAGATGATCACAGTCATAGAGCTGTATTGCAAAGGCAGACCTGAGGGCAGTGGTGTAGTGGTGAATGGCCTCCTGGTGCCGGCTGTTGTCTTTCAGGAAGTTGGCGTAGTTGTAGTGGACTTTGGCATTGTGTGGCAGAGTCTGGATACCAGAGCTGAAACGGGGAACAAGAATAGGAAAATAAGATGCAGGTCACTCGTTTCATTTCTGTCCAAAATAACATCCTTGTCATACTTGTAATTCCTTAATAATGTCAGGGTCATCAGTTAAATAAACTATAAACAGCCTGTACAGATGATACTGAGACACACACACCGACTCTTTATTATCATAAAAAAAAAAAACAGGACAGAGAGAAGCCAGAAACTTTCTAGCAGCATTTTGTAATTAGCATGTTTAAAATAAACTCCTTTTGTAAGCTCTTTTTGCAATATAATAGTGCAAGGGTTGTCTTACAATGTGGCCCCATTAAATAAATCAAATAACTATAATTTTATTTATTTTCAAAGTGAAAAAAACACAAGATCTACAATTATAAGAAACATCCGTTTTCTATGATTTCTGAGTTGAAATATAGTTTACATATTTTACACAATGGAAATTCAAGTCGTACTAAATCCAAATATTTGTGTATCATTTAAATCACTATTGTTTTTTTTTTACCTGATCACTATCAGAGTATATTAGTACTGAATTTCTGGTGCAAATGTAAGCCAAATGTTGGCATTTGAAAACAGGGACCACATACTGTACAATTTAACACTAGGAATTTAATGTACACAGAAAATCACCTTTTGTGTGCCTATTTCAGAACAAGGGCAAAAGTCAGACGCACACACGCCATACTTGCCAACCCTCCCGATTTTCGCGGGAGACTCCCGATTTCATAGCCCTCTCCCGGTTTCCTCCCGGGGTCATATTTCTCCCGATTTCTGACAAAATCAGATTTACTCAGGACTCATATGGTCCACTCGGACTTTATTACAGCTACACCATTGTTTGGTTTCCATGGTAGCGTGTCTCTTTAGTAGCGTGCGCAACTAGATAGTCACAGAAAACAGAACAAGAATCGACAACTCGACCCTCTGCTCACTCTTTTCCTGTAAAATACAGGTCCAGCCCATATGCTCCATCAAGACAGTGCACTTACAACTACAATAAGCATGTTAGTTAATGTTAATCCAATACAGCTCCGGCGATCCACTAGCACCCCCCCCGCGGTGGTTTTGAAATCCTCCCGATTTCTGAGGTCTCAAGGTTGGCAAGTATGACACACACACACACACACACACACACACACACACACACACACACACACACACACACACACACACACACACACACACACACACACACACACACACACACACACACACACACACACACACACACACACACACACACACACACACACACACACACACACACACACACACACACACACACACACACACACACACACACCACACACACACACACACACACACACACACACACACACACACACACACACACACACACACACACACACACACACACACACACACACACACACACACACACACACACACACACACACACACACACACACACACACACACACACACACACCACACACACACACACACACACACACACACACACACACACACACACACACACACACACACACACACACCAACACACTACTTACCGGAAGAGGGCCTCCCTGGAGCGCCAGACGTTGTTCTGCTGGACGGTCTTCCAGGAGAAGAGCAGGAGCAGCAGCAGCAAGGAGACGCTGAGGACTGTGGTACCCAAACGGCCAACCAGCGAACACAGGCGCCCCAGGCCGTGAGCCACCAGAATACAGTAACCCATACTGGAAGAGGGCGGGGGGGGGGGGGAGTAGGAAGACAGACGGGACAGAATCTCTTACTGCAGTCCTACATTCTAATAGAGGTGTTTAGGCTGTTAAAAGGCCTGCTGACTGGTTTGTACTGTCAAATAATGTGAAAAAGAAAAGACCATACCATTACATAGGAAACACAAGGAAATTAGTTCTAAAAGGAGTGAAACAAATTGTGAAATGAATGGTTCTGAAGGTTTAATTGAGATGATTTAGCAGATTTCCCACCAAATAATATTGGGTATTTAATTTGTGACAACATGCAAATATTTCAAGGGTTTGATGGCCAAAATAAAGGTTTCTATTAAGAAACTAAGGAACCACCAATAATTCCTTCAGTATGGTAATATGTGGAATGATAGCCGAAAAGAAATGTCAGTGAATTAGTTAAATCTGTGCTATTATTATTTAAATGCTTGTTTTGCATTTAAAGTGTTTATCAACAAGAGCAAATACCATCTCATAAGGGCATGACATTGTGTGCGTCTTATTTAAGTCAGAGCTGCTGTATTTCCATTTAGCAATCCTAATACAAAGGCACTTTGTTGTAAACAATTGCAAAAGGTAGAAAATAACCACAAAATGCAGAAAACACACCCCTTGAGAGAGTAAGCAGCTACTTCTGCCCTCGAGACCTTTCTTGCTCTTCTTCATCCTCTTCCACACCCTCAGTCTCAGTCAGCATCCGTCCCACCTCAGTGAAGGTTTCTGATGCTCTTTGTTTGTGATCAATCTCAGACCACTTGGCTATCGGTTTTCAATTGTTTTCAATGTAGCCGACGGATATCTGGGCTGAGTCTTTGAGATAAGGTTTAGAAACAAAGTCTTTGACCTCATTTTGAGGTTTCCTTACTCATCGATTAAGATTTATCACTATAACTTGAGCTATTTCTGTGAATTTATGAAAAATAAATGATTGAGTGAGTGCTCTGACAGAAAATGTATGCTTTGTTTAACCAACTTCTGGCTAACACGGCAGCAGATTTAAAGAAAAGGTGATTAGTAAAAAAAACAGAGAGAAAATGACGTCACAGCACAGAAAATGCAGAGTCACTAAATACATAGTGACTAC